AACACACCGTCCTAGATCAGGCCCCCAGTGACGGGCATTCTTAAGTCAATGGACAGATAGATCCACTGAAGACTACAGTCCCCCATGATCCAATCACCTAGCAAGAGGCCCCCCTCTGAAACTTTTCTTTTGGTGCCAGAGATCGAACTCTGGACCTTGGACTTGCCAGGCAGGCGGCAGCACCACTGACCTAAATTCCCGGCCCCCACCTCTGAAATCTTCAGACTTCTGGGACATATTTTAGATCTAAACCCTAAAAATAACTCATCTAAATCAAGAGCCTTGACTATTATGTACATAATTCTGAATCATCTTTCAGATGCCCTATTTATTTTTCAAATGGAGCTTAGTTTTCTGATGCTATTAACAAAATTTCTTTTCATAATATATTGATAATTGGTTCAGTTGTACCCTTTTCCTCTTTATTGACATTTTCAGAGATTCATCATAACACTGGAATCATTATGCAGCAACCCACAGAATCAGATCTTGGATTATTGGTGAATGCTCAATAGGGGCTCATTACCACCGACTCAGCACACCAGGTCCCCTCTTTAAATGGATCACAAGGGTACAAAAGTAAATTAATCACAAGACAGATTCAGAATTATTTCATTCTTACTGATTGGTACTCAGTCCTTTTTCCACTAATTTGTTCAATCTTTTATGATGTAATGTGATCACCAATTCAACATTCCATTCAGTATCTAAAATGCTGATGTAATACCTGACGACACATTAATGTAGACAACACTGCATGTCTTAAGTCATGTGGAAGCTGGAAAGGGTAATGTCATGGGAGAAGAGAGTGGAATATTCCTCATTGGAGGCTAGAAGTTCAGCCAAGCAGAGGTATGTTGGATAACAGGTACCAAAGCCTAATTAGACAAGAAGAATAAGTTCTAGTGTTCTGTATCACTCTAAGGTGACTAATGCATAAGCAACTTATTGTATATTTTATAAAGCACTACAAGAGAGAAGTTTGTTAGACCCCCCCACACAAAACACTAGGTTTTAAAGACATGGAAATGCTAATTACCCTGATTTGATCGTTACAAATTTTCAACATGTATTCAATTATCATACTCTAACTATGCATGATTATCATGTAGAGAAAACTTAAAATAGCGAAGCCTTAGAGCTAATCCATAAATATTTATAAATCAAGAAATGCCATGTAACCAGGGAAGAAAAGTAAACTGAAACAACACAGAGCCATGAAATTCAGTGGGAAACTTTGATCTCTTTTTAAACTGGGCCCTATTGTACTACAGTAGGTTAATCAGTTCATAATCCCTGCCTTAAAACACAACCTCAGGACTGCTCGAAGCTTAAGTCACATTCACATCCTTACTTATGATTTGATTTGGGTATTTATATGACTATTTCTAATTTACGGAAAGACAAAGCAGATAAAAACTCAAAAGCACCTGAAATAAAGACACTATCTGCACAGCCAAGTACATGTTTACTGCAGATGTGAGTCACAGGTTTGGTCTATTCTTAGTCGTGGCCAACAGTGTTTGAGTCATACAGTAATACTTCTTACTCCAAAAACTATGGTCATAAAGAGACCATCCCTTAACAGATTTTTATATATTCATTCGTGATATTTATGTTTATTGGCTCACTTATAATAAAATTAATACTAACGCACAACCCGGCAAAACCCAAAGTAAATATTTTAAGTATTTCTATCATCTGTCAATGGGCTAATTTCCAAGAGAGGTAATAGACTATTTTTTCTTTTCTACTGGACTGTAAAAAGGGATAGAAATATAATGATGATGCCTTAGTAAATATCTCACTTACGTCTTAGTACAGATTTCATCCCATTTATATCATCAGTCCATGTGTGATCCATTCTTATTTAAATTATGCATCCAATTAAGATATATCAGTAAACAAGAATGTACTTCTCTACCCTACTATGTTACTAATAATTTCTTTCAAATATGCTTCTTCCCCGTACAATTAACAGACTAGGCCATTTAACACTACAGAATATTTATGTAAACTATGAAAATTGCTAAAATGAGATATAACTGCCTTGTAAAATGACTAAATAGCATCAATATTCATATTTTCAAAGTTGTCCACAGTTGTACTGAGTTAGACAGTTCTACTCCTTACTATATAAAAAATTCTTATCTTCTATGTTCTTTGATTTTATTTAGGTAAATAGCCATTCATGCACCTTTTACAGGACTGTGAACACAATGAACCAGACACACACAACCCAGGGCAAGAATGTTGGGTATCATCTACGTAAGTCCACACGCGTCTTACCCAACAGACAATACCACCTGTATTACAGGCTGATCAGGCAGAAGTAGGCATCACCTCTGAGAAGGACAAAGTCAATATGAAAGAGTAGAAAACAGCCATGATTCAGGTTCTGTTTCTTTGAACATGAAAAGAACAAGATTAGAGTCATCATGAACATTGGGTCATGAAAAATTCTATTCTAAACTAGGGCTAACTCTGATTTATTGAATTACTTAAAGTATAAATTTTACAAAAAGTAGTGAATATTCTTGAATCTGTCACCTTCAGTAAGAGAAACAGCTGACTCCAGGTAGGCCTCGTGGCTTCTCTCTAACAAAACAACCTTCATATTCTCTACAAGTGGACATCATCTTACAGAAACAGAGTCATCACATTCCTGGTTTCACAACATGTTCATGTGAGTGGTCAGTCTTGACCTTATTCATTAATGCATTCATTATTAGTGTGAATGGATCAGTTAATAATTCATGAGCAAATGAGTTAATTTGTCCAACCATCCATTCTTTTTGAAGAAACTGAACATATTTACATTCTCTGACTATAACTGAACTAAATATTTATAATCTCATAGAGAACAGAAATGCTGTTTTTAATATCTGCCTATCTGATATTGATAAAACTAGTAGAATCCAAGAATTTTATTTTTTCTAAACAAGGGTACCATTACAAATGGCATTAAGTCCACTCTTTGTTCTATTTTTCCTCCCTTATTCATAACTGGTTTAGTTATTCATGCATCAGTTAACTTATGAAAAGGCAATTAATGTCATGAAATAAAGTTTTCTATATACGTATATAATATATATGTATACAATCAATTCTAAGGAAGGGAAAAATAAACTCTATTTCTTTTCACGTGAGACCCTAAGTTCCTGGGCTGGGGGTGTAGCTCAGTGGGAAAGCTCTTGCATAGAAAGCATGCCACACTGGGTTCAATACCTAGCACTGAGAAAACAATCCAGACATGAATATTCATTGTCTCAAACTCTTAAACCACCAGCCTTCAACATAGGTCAGGTTTGGCTCCTTTAGGGGCTGGAGATTTAGCTCAGTGGTTCTGCTGCCTGCCTTGCAAGCGCAAGGACCCAAATTCAATCCCCGGTACCAAAAAAAACAAGCAAAAAATGAAACCAGATTTGGCTCCTTTGTTCTGCATTTATGTCTACATTTGTGGATTGTTTGAATCATCAATTCACTAATAAGAATAAATAAATATCCAAGAGTCACAAAACTCTAGCAAAGAATTTCAATATCTCTAACATCTGTTGAATAAATTATTCCCCACAAGAACTAAGTTTCTTTTCTAATTGACCTCAGTGTTTCACATATAAATAGGCTAACATAAATTCTATAAATCGGATTTTTAAGATTTAGCTCTTGGTTGGCCTTACCTGATTATACTCCAAGTTTAAAATAAAGAAGGATAAATTTGAGTCATATGTGGGCAAATGGATGTACCTTGAGATCATAATGTTAAGTGAAGTAAATCAGACACTTAAGCATCAATATCACATAGCATCTCTTATACGAGAAACCCAATTAAAAATAAATTAAAGAGCAAAATAAAAGACAGATAATGGGAAACAGAGAGATAGATCTTTTTGCACAAGGGAAAAGGACCAAGAGATGAAGGAAAGTGGGATGGAAGATAGGGGAAGGGGAAGTAAAAGGAATTAGGTGTTGTGCACATGTACCACCTCCCTACAATAAATGTAATCATTATGTACTGAAACATGTATAATTAAAATTAATGAAATTTTAAAAACTTAAAATAACACACTGATGCCTCTTTTGGTTTGTTTTTGGTACTGGGAATTGAACCCAGGACCTCCCAACTGAGCTTCCTTCCCAGCCCTTTTTTATTTTGAAAGGGTGTCACTCAGGCACTCAGTTGCCCAGGCGGGGTTCACACTTGCAAACCTCCTGCCTCAGCCTCCCAAAATGCTGGGATTATAGGAGTATGCCATCATTCCCAGTGCATACCTTAAAAAAAATTCAAACCACAACAAGAACCTTAATTATTACTCATATTGGCCTCTATGCAGCTGTACATAAAGGCAGTCATGTGCCCTGCAGCCATGAAAGGGTCCATAAACCAACGCCACTGTACACACTCTAAGGAGAAACCAAGCAGAACAGTTGACTTTAAATATTGGCAACTTCACTCCATTCGTATTTGCCTCCCACGTCTCATTGATCCAGTCAGTTAAGTATTTACTGTTTCTTCCTAAAATATGCTTTGCTTAACAAAATGAATTGGACAATGACTGACCCAGAGCAATATAACTGACTCTTCCTTCTCTGTGTCTGTGATCATTTGTCAGAAGCAACATCCTTGATCTATTTATGTCTTAATGACATTAGTGTTTTCAACTTCCGTTACCAGCGTACTGTTCTTCACTTTATCTCCTATATTTGTGGTTGAAGAATGCTTCAGTATCTTCCAATTTATTGAATTATGTATTTAACACTGCCATCAAGGATCAATTTATAATAATAATACAGGATCGAGGGCTGGGGATTTAGCTCAGTGGAGGATGGATAATCTAAAATTAAAGAACACTAGAATTTTTAGCATCAATCCATCAGCTCATTTGCAGATGATCCCAGGAAATCGACCATAGTTCTTTTTCTGCAGACCGCACAGTCCCACACTTATTATTAACTGTAATCACTGGCCCAAATTTAGGTGTCATTTTCTTCATACAAATCTACACTCGTGTATTGAATAATAATTACCATGAGCCATACAATCTTAAGGAAAAGAAAGATCCCAAAGTATTCATCTACAGAACAATTGTGTCACTGAATACACATATACCCCTTTTACTAGCCATTCTCATTGTTATAACAATTCATTTCTCTTACATGAGAAATCCAAAGTATAAATAATTTAAGAGCAAAACAAAAGATAGGAAACAGGGAGATGCACTTTGTGGTGATAGGAAGGGGAAGAGGGAGGCAGTAGGGAGGGAAGGGTAGTAAAAAAGGGATGGGAAAGGGAAGCAAAAAGGATCAAGAACTGTTATGTATATTAACCAATTCCCATCCATAAATGTCTTTATGATGTAAACATATACCAATAAAAAAGGGAAGAAAAGTAGACTCAAAAAAACTGACTAATGTTTATAACGTCTCATGTCAAATTCGTATTTATCACTGGGCCTTGATTGGCCTAATTAGATTATTTTTAATACTACTTGTGAAGACAATAGTCTGTGATTCCCTAAACAAATCAGCAAAAGCAAGGACCTTGGCATGACTCATATCGGTCTCCACGTTTCTGCATACAAGGGCAACTGAAGCTCAGGGGTGTGTGTATCCACGCTGTGAAGTACAAAGCAGAGTAGATAAAGGCAAGATTGAAATTCTTGCCATTTCCAACAAGGGTAAAACCTAGATTGTTTTCTTCTTGGACCTCAGAGTTCCAGACATGTATCCATCATCCACAACTCACACGCCACCAGTGGTCATCACTCATCAATGTTTGAGTCTCCTTTTCATCATGCATTTTTACACTTTTATTGAATTTGTTATTTAATCATTGACAGTAAAATGAAACATGATTTGAAACCCAAGAATAAAAGATCTGAATTCCTAACATACTTTGATCTTTGATTAGCTAGACCCAATCAATGTTCCTCATTAGCCGATAATCAGCATGATCTTTCATATTGCATTTACCATTGCACCATAGTTAACTTCTTATTAGATTTAACAATTTTTAATAATACCAGGAATATTTTGAAGTGAATTGCCCCAAACAAGAACTTTGACTATACTCACCCTGATCTAACATGGATCACAGCACAATGTTCAAGTTGGTTCAGTGCATACATTCTGAAGCATGGAAAGCAGAGAAAATGATTTTTTTTAAATGAGAGTCTTTGCATCGACATGTATTTGTATCTCTTATTAGTTATTTAAGTATTTATTGCTTTATTATAACATTTCTTCATTTTTATCTTAGTCAAATGAATATCAAACTTGCTTCTGACTAAGAGCAGTAACTACTGTCATGGTCTAAATCATTGTGTTTCCTTACTATATATTTCAGCCACTGGCCATACATCATTCTCTTCATTATTATTCATGTTTGTATGTATTTGTTTATTTACACTACCATTGCTATTTTAATAATATCTTTCTCAAAATTCAGGAACACAAAGACAAAACAGGGAGCCTGGAGTAGGTATCCCCTGGATAGGACCTCAGAGCTCCTGACAAGAACACACCGCCTCCTACACCATGAGGGGGATGATGCTGATTTTTTCTCTATTAATTTCTACATTGTTTGTTAATGACTGTCCACTTGCTAATAATAATAAAAATAAACATTTATAAATCAAAAAAACTCAAAGATAAAATCCTTAAGTGTCTCTATTATCTGTGTATACAAACATTTTCCTAGATGGCTTCCCCTTCTCCGTGTGTGTAAATACCTACTAATCTACATAACAGTTCATGCGGATTTCATATTTACTTTCGGAGCATGGTTGGCTTCCTTTGATTATATTTAATAGCTTTTTAATATTATACTGAAGGTCCTAAGCAAACACCTCAAACCAAATAAGAGTGTGACGATTCCTCACATTGGTGTGCAGGCAGCCTGATGTAGGGGCAGTCTGGGTGTTCCTGATGACAGGAAGTGATTAGTGAGTGACAGCTCAGCAACTCCAAGAAGCACAAAGCAGAACAGAAGATAGCAAAATTGAGATGTGCTTTCTGGCTCCATCAATCTGATCTTTCACTTAGTCATTTAAGTGTACATGAATGTGGGGAAATACTTACTAATTTTCTTTTAAAAGAACAATAACGTTCTTCTCTGATCCTCATTGCCTATATTATCATTAATTAAAGAATTAAAACACAGGAAACATTTTTAATGGAATTCAGTGTTTTCTATATACCTTTTTAGATTTTACCACCTCTCCACAAATAGGAAGAGTAGACAGGCATCACACTGGACATGTCTCATCTTCACTTTCCTGTGTTTGTGCATTCAGTCTTACATTGATGCACGTATGATAAAAGAGCCATGATTCATAAAAACAATCCAATAAAATTAGCTTGAATGCATCCATTCTATAGACTACAAAGCAAAGTGGATGATTAAAACAAAAACTAAGACTGTCTACTGAGCTTCTTTTCCACATTTTCCTCACTCAGTCATGTAGGTATTTATTAGTTGTTTATAATGGAATGTTTTTCTCTTAACAAAAGAAGCAGCCTTACACTTAGAAAGACAAGCCCAGAAAACAAAAATGACTCTTACTAATTAGAATCGTGTGATAATTACCCAAATAAGTGCTATCCATGATGCATTTCTTTTTTTTAATCCACTCACTGTATGTCTTAAGGGGCATTAATACTTGTTTATTATTTTGAAATATTGGGGATTAAACTCTGGCCCTTTCTTATTTTGAGACAATGTCTCCCTAAGCTGCTAAATTGCCCAGGTTGGGCTCAAACTTGCAATCCTCCTGCCTCAGCCTCCCATAAAGTGTTTAATACTATCATTTCTTTCATCATCACATACAGTCACAGCTGGATTATGATTTACCCTCTTCTTTACCTATTTCTACCTGCTTAGTCATCCTATCATTGATCCCCTAATAATCAATCTAAGTCTATGAATCTAGAGAATATTATTTTGGACTTGTCTGATATCTATCCACAGGATTATTTCCAACAGACCAAACTAATTTATGTTTTGTGTTGGAACCCAGAGTTTCAGATAGATAACATCCACCGTCTCTAACTCACATTCCACAAGCAGTCATCATTGGACCATGTTTGGGTCTTTTTCTTCATTTGTTGAATAAGTCAATCATTCAGTAATAATAACAATAGTCATATATGCTTCTGCAAGGCACAAGAACAGAATCTTTGAGAATCCCTAACATCAGTCCCTGTAGCCAGTTCCCACACAGACTATGTATCTTTTATTTGTTAATCTCAATGCTGCATATTATCAATTAATCAACACAATGTATCCTGATTTATCACTGGGCCATAATTTAATGCTGATTACTAACACCACTAACACTCTCAAGCAAATGACCCCAAATAGTACACTTTTCCTGTTACTCATTTTGCCATAATAGGAAGGCAGCCTCATGTTCAGCACCGGAAGGTGTTGAAAGTGGCTCAGAAGAGTGCGAAGCAGAAATCACGATAAAGAAAAGGTGAGACATTCTTTACACTGACCTGTATCTTTCATTACTGCCATGGTCACATACACATTTCTAAACTTCCAGTAATATGTACTCATTTTTCTCTTACTGCGACAAATAAACTTGCTCTTGACTCAGAACAGTAACCATCTCCATTGTACTTTAATAATAGTATATTATACAACTCATAAATGCAAAGATGAGAACAAGGTCCTGGCATTGTAAACTACCCGTCTTACAGGATCACCTGAACAGACTGCTTTGGTGTTGGACTGTGTGGTTCCACACACACACAACGGTCACTGTCTACAACTCGCACCTAACCTGTCATTATCAATGATTCAGGGTTGGGACTCTGTTCTCATCTACATGTAGTTACTGCTCAGTGTATTACCACGCTAATCATAATAAAATAAGTATCAATCAAAAAATCGGCACAAGATCTTAGGTATTTTAAATCTGTATAGAGAATCATTTCTTGCCTTAAATGTTCTTGTTTCATGTTGCACATATCAATTAATCAACATAATGCCATGGGGCAGCTCCATATTTATCATTAGGATATGGTTACTCTTAGCATATGTTTAGTACCTTCTTAACTATTATAGTGAGGCCTCTAAACAACCCACCCAAAGCAAGACAATGACTTTGCCCAGTACTCACGGTGCTTGAGTGCCCCTATACACACAGGGAGCCATGGGACCCACTGGAGTGTGGCTCGTGTTCAGTGCAGTCAAGCGTGTTCATGCTAAGAAGTAAAGCAGAGTGCAAAAAAGCAGGACTGAAGTCTTCTCTATGCATCCAACCTCACACTTCGCAGTCATATCAGATTTAGTAAAGTGGGAAAACGTGCATTTGTTTTCTGTCTACATCATTCCCACCCAAAGAAGTAGGACATATGTACGCAGGTTTTTAACCTAACTTTAGATATGAAGAGAAGACATGCTACACTGCGTTTACCTTATTGATGTTTGTACACTGATTCTTTATTTGAACCATTTCCAAGAAAGTGATCATTCTATTGTCCTAATATCTATCTATAGGTTCCTTTAAACAGAGGCAATAGACCATTTTCATTGCTATTGGACCTCAGAGTCATGGAACATTCATCATTTACAATTAATAATATCACCAGTTCCCATAATTGGTCCAGGCTTAGGCCTCTGTTTCTTCATTCTCATCTACATTTGCTTATTGATCAACTCACTGACATTACTATTTAGAACTAAAATTCAGCTGGGTGTGTTGGCACACGTCTGTAATCTCAGCACTTGGGAGGCTGAGGCAGGGATTGCCTTGAGTTTGAGGCCAGCCTGGACTACATAGTGAGTTCAAGGCCAGCCTGAACTGCCTAGTGAGACACTGTCTCAAATAAAATAAATAAATAAACAAATAAATAAGTTTCAGAAAATAGGATTCACAAAAACCTACGAATAAGAGAAATAATAGCATGCATGTCCATATTTTCCATATTCATGTATCTTTTTCATTATCATGGTATGTGGATTTATATTTCCTACTCATTCCATATTTAACATTGTCCATGGCTATCCTTATGGATTATATTTCATACTTTCAATAAGACTGTACAATAAATCCTTTAAGAAAAACAATCTCATGGAAGATATAGATTTTTAGTGATTAGTTACATTGGTCTCTAAGCCCATTGTGTTGAGGCGATATAGAGCATGTGCTATACAGGAGACTAAAATCAGCCCAGAAGTATCTTTTTGGGGAGTACAAGACCAAGAAGATGAATAAGAAGGCGCCAGCAACTGGAATATTTATTAATTGCTCATAATGTAAACAATTGCATAAAATATATACTGAAATGAACGTTTTTGTATGCGTGTGTGTATGTATGTGGGTACATTTGAATATACTTAGGTAGAAAAGTATATAAAGATTTGACTCATGCTTACAAAATTGAATATTGCTCATCAGTGTCATTTCCTATATGATCCTTAGTAACAGAATCTTTTGTCCATTTGGTTCTATAGCATATATTGGTTCTACAGTTATATATAGTTTATATGAATAATATTCCATGGCTCACTATATCACATGCATAGTTGAATAAAGCTTCCTTCACTTATTTGTGTGTATATATACTTGCTCACTGGTCAACAGATAATGAATTTACATTAATAAAATGAAGTACATCAACAAAAGATTTTAAAATTTCCTGTATATTCCTAATAATCAGCCTTAGGATTTTTTATAACACAAAATTAAACAAGTTCTAGTTTAACCAGATTCCAGACCTGTAGCATTCATTACCCATGATTCACCATTGACCCAGCTTTGGGCCTCTCTTCATTCTCATTGATTCACTAATAATAATAAACAACCATGAACTGCAAATACTCATGGACGAGTTCCTTCTGGGACCCATTTGTCTTTGGAATCATTTGCCTAATTTATTATACCTCTTTCATTAGTCACCCTTATTATTGCAAATATCAATTAATCAACATGTTTCATACAATCCTCATTAACTCACTGGACTACAGCTGGCCCTTTTAGAATTATACTTAATATTAACTGTAAATATTACAGTGAACACCTGGAAAAGCTACCTAAATTTAAAAAAGCACTGTGACTATTACCCTCAGTAGACTGAGTGGCTCCTACACACTCTGGCAGCTGCGGGACTCGTGAGCATGGCAGATGCTTCAACCAGGTCAGGGGCGTGCAACCTGAGAAGTGCAGCAGAGCAGACATTAGCATATATTGGTCATACAGATTAATGGGCTGCATTTTGACACATGCATACATGCACACAACATACTTAGGTCATTTTTACTCCCATCATTCCCCTGCCCAAGTTCTCCCCAAGTTTCACACTTTGCAGGGCTCAATGAATATATTTTGATCAAATCTAGTACCCCATAATCCAAAAGAAATATTCTGAAGCCATATCTTTCTTAATTAACTTTGGGGTTTCTAATTTCTATTAATATTCTTTTGCTTCATGAAATATTTTCCTGATTGGCTAATCGTATACCTCCTGATATTTATTTATTTATATTTGTTTATTGATTCATTTACAATTATATGTAACTATGATAATGGAATCAAAATCGATGAGCACAAAGACAAATATCATAATCCTCATATATTTTCTCATCATCTTGTTAAAAGATCATTTTCAAGAGAGGGAGTGTGTAGATTTTCTTTTGCATTGGACCTATGTCAGATATGGTTTTCGTCATCTGTAACATCAACAGTGATGACTGATCATCATTATTGGTCCAGGCTTAGGCCACATACAATATTTCATATAGTTCCACATTTATCATTTATTTTGTTGTACTAAACACATCATATGAATACATGGAATATCTTCTAAGAAAATATTCAAAAAGCAGAACTGTAGCTATTACCACATTTGTACCTATGCACCTAACAGCATAGGCAACTGCAGAGCCCCTCACCAAGGGGAATCCATGACTCAGCCTGAATGTGCCCATTCTGAGAAGTAGAGAGCCCCACAGATGATAAAAGACTGAGATACTCTACATTGATCAATCATTCCACAGTTCAATTAGTTAATTAATCATTTAGGCTTTAATTTGGAGTACTACATACTTTACTTTTCTTAAACACAAAATTGAATTTTCTACAAACAGAATAAGAGTATAGATTTTTAGTTGTATAAGCTCTATAATCATTAGAGATGATAATGAAATCATTTATTTTTTTACAGAAAGTATGTTTTCAATACATTCAAATAGCCACTCTTACCTTTCTACAAATTTTAATAATAGTTGATACATTTGTTCATATTTAATTCTATCTTAGGTCCATTTTTGATATAATCAAAATCCATTAATAAAAACCATAAGACCTTGCTGTGGATTTAGCTCAATGATGCCACCGCCTGCTTCCAAGTGCAAGGACCCAAGTTCAATCCCTGGTGATCAAAAAAAACCAAAACCAAAACCAAAACAAAACAAAAAACCAATAAGACTATACTCTAGAGGACCACTTTCAATGACAGACGTAAACTAGACTTCTTATGGTGTGGACCTCAGACTCCCACAGCTTAGTCACCATCCATGACTCATACTCCACCAGTAGTCATCATGGATCCAAGATTGGTGCCCTGATCATTCTTCATTAATTCCTGTATTTGTTTATTAGCTATTGAAGACAATATTAATTAGTTGATAATAACCACAAAACTTAATAGCATACTTTAAGCATAATTTATACCTTTTGCCTTAAGATTTTTTGGCACACTGATTATATGGCTTTTCTTTGTCAAACTTAATTTTGCAAATATTAATTAATCAATATAGTGTTTCATGGCCATGGCACATTTATCTTTTAGTTTTGTGAGTCTGCCAGGATTATAGGTAACAATTTTACCAAATGGAGAATCTCTTTTTAAAGTCACCTAAAACAAGATGAGAACTTTGACTATACTCACATTGGTTTCCGTGTCCTAACACCCACAGGAAGCCACAGACTTCATGTCCAGGAAAGTTATGTTTCAACAAGCTTGGGAGCATCCATTCTGACAGTATGAAACAGAATAGATTATAAAAGATTGATAATTATCCATGCATTCATCCTTTCATTTCATTGGTCAATTAAGCAGGAATTAAATTATGATTTTTTTCTTTGACAAAACAAACATTGAAATTTGGGTCCTGACACTAACAAGGACATAGGTCAGTAGTTTTATTTTATTTAACATCCTTTGAAATGGGAGTAACACATTTGAGCATTTTATTTCTACTGGTCTTCTGTGCTTTAAATACACATAATTTATTTTTGTTTACCATATATTTTAATGATTAGTCAATGCCTCACATTATCTCTCTATTGACACAGAATAAGATATACTCTGAGCCACTGATATAGGTGGATAGGTAGATACTGCCAAAAAACATATGCACACTTCAGCAGTTTGCCTTACTAATAAATTTCTGAAAGCTAATGGCCTCTACTTTGAGCACGTGCTGTACTTATACAGGCCAAATGTAACATATTAATCTCATGATGGCTCAACAAATTTAGTATTAAAATATTTATGCAAGTTTTGTCCTGATATACATTTTTTGGCAGATTCTTAATATATGTGTTTGTGTATGTGTGGTATGTAATGGTTCTTTCTTTGATCCAATTACTATGATATATTAACACTGCATGAACACAAGATGAAGAACATCTTTGACTATTCCTAACATCTATCTGTGCCAACAGAATACACACACTAGGTGTCTTACAGTGTGGACCTCTCAGACTTCCAGAGCTTAGTCACCATCTATGATTCATACACCACCAATGGTCATCATTGATCCAAGACTGGGCCTCCTCCATTAAATTCTACATTAGGCTCTTGCTAGCTAGGAATTACACACAGTTAAAAATAAGATCCTGAGATAAAATTTATAGCTATCAACAGGATTTTTAACCACATTGACTATGGTTTTTCTTACTCTTAATTTTACAAATATTGCTTAATTGAGAAAGTGTTGCCTAGCCATTTCAATTTCTCCTAGGACCATTCTTGATGTTCTTGGACTCATGTAATATTTTTATCAAAAAAATGAACATTCTTTAAAAATTACCCACACAAAGACAAAAACTTTGACTATACTCACATTGATTTCTTTGCTCCTAATGCAGAAAACTAAGAAAAATAAAATATTTAAATCAGTTCGGAAACATCCATTCTGAGAGTACAAAGGGAAACACATATAAAAACACATCCATTATCCTTCCACCTATCCTTCATTAGTCATTTAAGCACTAGTGAAACTGTGATGACATTTTTTCCTTAAGAAAGCAAACACGATGAATATGGCCCTAACACGTGCCCAAGGATTAACCCAATTAGAAAAGTCAGTGAAGATTTCATAAAGACAAGGACTAAAACATCCTTGACTATTACTAACAGCTATCACTGGGATCACAAGGTACACACTGGATGTCTTATGATGTGGAAATCACACTTCCAGACTTATAGTCACCATCCTTAACTCATATGTCACCAAAGATTATTGGTGATCCAAAACTGGCCCTCCTCTCCATTAATTTCTTTTTTTGCTTATGGACTATCTCATTGACTACTAATAATCAGATAACTAGAAATCACAAAAAATTAGGAACAAGATCCTTAGGTACCCTGTAAACTACCTACAGGGTTTTTGTCACATTTGTATATCGTTTATCTTACTGTTAATTTTATGAATATTGATTAATTGTAACAATATATCCTTTGAGAACAAAGACTGAACACTTGGAATCTGACCTGTAAGGACTTAGGCCATCATTTTCACTATATTGCCATCATCTAGCAACGGTCTTATAACTTTGAACTTTTTATTGATGAATGAACTTCCATGTTTCAACATAAACTAATGGGTTTTTTCCCACAAGTTTCTTTTCATAATTGGCCAATGCTTTACTATTTATTTATACATTTGATCCAATTACAAAAATAGATTGAAAGTTCATGAACACAAAAAGCAAAAACATCCTCGACAAAAACATTCCTAACACCGACCCCTCGCGTCTGAAGGTACACTGAGTGTCCATGAGTGATTCGCCACCAATGGTCATCACCAAAACCAGGCCTCCTCTTCCCTATCATGTTCTACATTAACTTATTGACTATAAATTTCACTACTGATTTTATAACCAGGAATTACAATATGTTAAAGACAAATCCTTAAGGACACATTATAGATATCTATAGGATCTTTTCCAACACTGAATTTCATTCATTCATTTCATTCATTGCTGCTAATTTTCAATAATGTGGCCATTTAATATTTCTCCTTGGGCCATGGTTGAGACGTTGCATCATAACATAACAGTTTCACTACAGTGAATACCCTGGAAATTCCACCCAAACAAAGATAAGAACTTTGATGTACTCACACTGGTCTCCATGCTCCTAACACGGTGGGAACCACAGACCTCACGACGAGGAAAGAATGCCTGTGTCAGCTTGGAGGCATCCATTCTGAGTACAGAGCAGAATGGGTTATAATAAGATTGACATTGTGTCCACTCTTTTACTGCTCATTGTGTTACTCTTGTACTGCTCCTTTTATTTTATTACTCATTCAATGTGTATCTAATTATGTTATTTCATTCTTAAGAAACAAACACTGAATTTGTTTCTGACCTGAGTAAGGATTTAAGCTCCATTTAAAAACCACCCACACCAAGGCTAGAACTTTGACGGTACTCACATTGATCTGCATGCTCCTCACACACAAGCAGAAAGAGATCCTGCGACCAAGGATGAATGCTGTAATCAGTGGGAACACCATTCTCAGTACAAGGCACAAGAAATTACAAAAGGATTGAGATTATGCCTACTTAATCTTGCCTTTCTCCACTGATTTTATTGATCATTTATGTAACAGTTAAATTATTTGGGTAGTTCTTGAGAAAATGAACATTGAGACCATTGTTTCAGTTTTATCTACCATCCTCAGCCAAGATCGCAAAATGTTTGAGGTTTTTTCTTTCTTAAGGGATTTCCATGCTTTAAATGCAAACATAATGTATTTATGTTCGTTATATATTCTCACCTTTGGTCAATGCTTCACACTCTAGCTTTATTTATTCATATGGACATATTTGTTTATTTATATATAATGGTTATTTCACTGATCCAGTTAAAAAGCAAGCTGAACCCTCATGAACACAAAAGGTCGTCCTAGAGCATCCCTGACGATGCCTTAAGCCACCCTAAGGTCACAAGGTACACACTAGATTCCTTATGGTTTGGACCTCAGACATTGAGCGTAGTCATCATCCATGACTCATACGACTCCAGTGGTCATCACTGATCCGAGGTTGGCCCTCTTCTGCTAACTTCTACCTTAACTTACGGACTACTTGTTTCCTTAATAATCTATATACAGAAAGTATCTCTAGCTATATAAAAAGGCTGTCTCTAGTGTGTGTTTGTGGACTCTGTCAAAAATCAGATGGCTGAGGATGGATGGAGTTATTTCTTTAACTGTTGTTCCATTTTATTGTTCCATGTGTCTGTTTTTGTGCTATCATCGCACTTTTTTGATACTATATTCTTGTATCCATTTTATTTCTTTTCCTTGCCTGATTTCTCTGACTGAAGTTTTAAGGTCTATACTGAACAGAAGTGAGAGTGTCACCCATGTTTTCTCCCTGATTTTAGAAGGAAATATTTCAGTTTTTTCCTGTTTAGTATGATGTTGCTTCTGAGTTTGCCATACATGGCTTTTATTATGTTCATCAGCTTTTTTGTCATGAAGGGATGTTGGATTTTGCTGAAGGCATTTTTTTTTGCATCTATTGAGATGATCATGTAATTTTTATCCTTGATTCAATTTATGTGGTGGATTACATTTATTGATTTGCGGGCCAGGGATTTAGCTCAGTGGTTCCAGCGCATGCTTTGCAAGCGCAAAGTCCCGAGTTCAAGCCCCAGTACCAAAAAACAAACAAACAAACAAACATTTATTGATTCGCATATGTTGAACTACCCTTGCATCCCTAGGATGACAACATGTGAGCATGATAGTTATGATGTATGATCTTTTTAATGAATTATCCAATTTTGTTTACAAGTATCTTATTGAGGATTTTTATATCTATGTTCCTCAAGCACATTGAATTAACTCAATCAAGAAATGGACAAATTAGTTGAATTGACACTTTCTCAGATGAGGAAGAATGAATGGACAATAAGCACATGAAAAAATGTATGACATGTTCAGCCATTAGAGAAATGCAAACCAAAACACCTCTGAGATTCCATCTTACCCCAGTCACAATGGCTATCATCAAGAACAAAAAAAAACCAAATACTGTCAGGGATGTTGTGGAAAATGGACTCTTCTACTTTATTGATGGGGATGTAAACTAGTACAGCCACTATGGAAATCGTATGGAAACTCCTCAAAAAACTAAAACTGGAAATTCCATTGACTCAGCCATACTTCTCCTGGGTATATTTCCAAAAGAATTAGACATCATTCTATAGTGATACATGTATACCCATACTTATAGCAGTACAATTTACAATAGTTATGCTCTGGAAACAGCCTAGTTGTCTGTCTACAAATGAATGGATAAAGAAAATACGGTATATGTAGAAGGGAATGTTAGTCACCCATAAAGAAGAATGAAACCATGTCACTTGCAGAAAAATGGGTGGAGTTTGAGACCAAAATACAAAATGAAATAAGTAGACACAGAATGCTAAATATTGCATGGTTTCTCTTACATGAGAAATCTAAAACATAAATAAATGACTAAAATGAAGGGAACATGGTAGGAAACAAGACAGACTTTTGGAAGATGAGGAAAGGAATCAAGAATACAAGAGAAGAAAGGGAGAGGGAGGTAAAGAAACAAAAAATGATCAAAATATGTTATATACATGCAGTAATTCCTGAAAACTAAACTGGAAACATACACTAATAAAAACATAAAAATTAAAAACTATATAAGTAATCACAGAAAAGTTAGTAGCATCCTTATGTACACTTTATCTACAGGAACTTCTCCTACATTGAGTATATCTCATTCTGTAGTCTAAATTTTCCAAATATTGATTAGTAAACAAAATGTTTGTCTGTGGCCCATGGTTGACATTCTTGAGTCACATATGATGATTTTACAATATGGTGCTCAGATTTTAAAAGCCACCCAATCCAAGAACTTTACACCTCTTGACTAAGGAAAAATGCCCAAGTTCATTCTGTGAGTACAGAGCAGAACAGATTATAAAATGATTGATATTTTCTCCATTTCTTCTTGTACTATTCCTTTCCTCTTATTACACATTTCAATGTGTAGCCAATTATGTTATTTCCTTCTCGGGAAAACAAACACTGGTTCTGTTTCTGAACTGAATAAGAATTCAGGCCCATTATTTATCATGTATACAGCATCCTCAGAAGATGATGCCTCTGATCCATTTATTCTTAAGGAATTTGTGTATTTTTAAAAAACAGTATTAGTATTTCTTATTGAAGCATGCCTTAATCTTTATCTTTATTTACTTTATTTACTTTATCTACTTTATCTTTATTTACTTTTTTATTTAATTGTACATGTAGAATGAAAAGGAATGAACTCAAAAACAGAGAATGATATCCCTGACTACTCCCAGGACATATCCCAGGGACAACAAAGTGTGGCCCTTAGACTTCCAGAGTTTAGTCGCCACCAGGGGTCATCCTTGATCCAAGACTGGGCCTCCTCGGTTAATTTCTACATTTCTGGATCCACTAATTCATCATTTCACTGGTCATTTTGTGATAACTATAAATCACAATTTCCTAAGAACAAGAGCTTTAACTGTACTCTCAAGCTATGTATAAGATTTTTTGCCACATTAAGTATATCTCTTTCTTTAATAACTCTTAATTGTGCAATACTGGTTAATTAACACAAAGTTTTACAGCCATGTCACAACTATCATTCAACCACGATTGACCTTTTTTTTATTATACATAATGCTTTTCCCAATACCTCTCAAAAGCCACACAGCCAAGACAAGAACTTCGTAGATACTCACATGGGTCTCCATCCTCTCATACACAGGGTCAACCACAGACTTCATGTTCGCAGAAAGATGCTGTAATCTGCTTTGGATCATCATTCTGGGAGTACAAAGCAGAAAATATTGTACAGATTCAAGTTCTGTATATTTATCCTTCATCCCTCCTTACATTTTACTAGTCGTTAAGTAGGAGAGACATTGTGATGACATTTTTTCTTAATAAAATAAGTAACACTGGACAAAAGGGGGACTTAAAGCCATTGAAATTTATTCTCTATAAAATGCTCAACCAATGTTGTAATATTTTGATGTTTATTTCATAATAGATTTTAGTGGGGGGTTTTGTTTATAGTAGTACAATTTTTTGGCACATATTTTTTCATAACTGGTCAATGCTTCAGACACGTTCTATTTATTATTTATGAATTTGTGCAATGATATTTTCATTGATCCAATTAGAAAAATAGAATGAGCCTTTCTGATGGAGAACCTCCTTCACCATTCCTAAGCTTTCTTCCTAGGATCTGAAGTACACACTAGATGCCTTACTATGCTGGAACTCAGACCTTGGAGCTGTGGTCATCATCCATGCCTTGTCCGCCACTAGTGGTCATCACTGATCCAAGACTGGCCCTCTTTCTCCATTGATCTCTCCATCTGCTCACGCACTATTCATTTCACTAATAATAATCACATTACTAGGAATCACAAAAAATTAAGAACAAGATCTCTAGCACACTGTGAGCTGACTGCAGGATCTTTTGCCGCAGCAGATAGATCTGTTTTCTTGGCCAATCGTAATTTTGCAAATATTGATTCATTAAGAAAGCACTTCATGGCCATTTTGTATTTCTCCTGTCACCAAGTTGACACTCTTGGATTACACATAAGACTTCTAGCAATACAATGAACCCTGCTTAAAACCACCCAAATCACAATAAACCTTTCACTGTATTCACACAGAACTCCATTCCCCTGGGAACCAAGATGTCAGGAATAGGAAGAATGCTCAAGTCAGCCTGGGAGCAGCCATGCTGAGAGTACAAAGAAGAAAGGGTTATTTTTTTAAATGATATTTGTTGATTCATCCTTGACTCCTTTATTTTATTAAATCGGTCATCTAGAAAAAAGCTAAATTATGATGATTATTTTTAAGAAAACAAGCAACACTGAACATGGCCTTGTCCTTCTACTGTCTGTGCCATTCTCTAGAAAAGAGCTCAATCTTAAACACCCTTGAATCATTCATTTCTTAATGGAATTCTGTATTTTCCATATATATTAACATTTCTTGTCATCCATTTATTTTCACAATTGGGAGATGCTTCACATAATTTATCTTTATTTACATATTTATGTTATGATTCATTCACTGTGCTTACTACAGAGTCAAAATTCTTTAACACAAAGATCAAGGATAAGGGCCAGGGATTTAGCTCAGTATTCTGTGCCTGCCTTGCAAGCACAAAGTCCCGAGTTCAATCCACGATAACAACCCCATCCCAAAAAAAGATCAAAGATAAGATGTTCACTATTCTTAATAACTAAATAATTAAATAATTGGGGGAAATATTAACTTATTTGTGCATTATGTTTATATTAACACTACATCTGTAATTTCACAGAAACTACACAATGTTAATGTGTACCTGAATATCTATTAGACACAATAAAACATCAGTACACTTTGTATTTTTTAATTGAACTGAGAAGCTCAATTTAAACATAGTGAGGATGACTGGATTAATCGCAACTGGTTATATGACATATTCTTTTTTTTTTTTTTTGGTACTGGGGATGGTATATAACATATTCTTAACACAGATCTATAAGCCCTCTCTCAACAAGGTAGCTATTTAATAAATAATTAATATAAAATTTCTTCCCTTTTCTTAATCAAACAATCTAATCCAGAACATAGACACTAACATCTATTGATCTAAATGTTCCTTACCCAAAAGGGCCAGCTTTGATCAATTTATGTTACTGGAATTCAGTGCTTCATAAATGTACTGTTAGTAATGGCTCTTATTCCATTAAGTATTCTCATATGGGGACCAGGAATAATACAGATCAGTTGTCTGTATTTATTTATAGGTTTCTTTGTTTATTTACAAACTGTTTCACTGAAAATAATAACACCAATCGATACTCCGAAGTCCAACAACATGGTCCATATTATCTTTTTCTTTTTTTTGGTACTGGGCATCGAACTCAGAACCTTGCGCTTGCAAG